CCGTCACTATTAGGGTTACGTCGTCAGCAAATGCCTGAATCGTTATATTGTTTTCGAATCTTTGTTGAAGAAGATCCGCAATAACAACATTGAAAAGAAGTGGACTGGGGGGTGAACCTTGCGGACACCCCTTTACTGAGCCGATAGTAATTTTTTCGCTTTTTGTTAAGTAGGACATTTTGCGGTTTGTCAAAAAGTCTCGAACCAAAATGAAGAGATTTCTGGGGCAGTTGTTTTCTCTTAGTTTGTTAATTACTACTGGGGCCCAGAGCGAGTTGAAGGCTCCCTTGATGTCCAGAGACACCAAGATTGCCCCCTTCCCCTCCCTCTTGACGTCCTCCAGCTTAGTTTTAATTTTGTATAACGCGCTTACTGCAGACTTTCTGTGGGTAAAGCCAAATTGGTTTTCATGAAGTAGTTTCTTAGAGTGTAAGAAATGGTACAGCCTATTGTTAATTAATTTTTCTAATACTTTACCAAAGATGTAGTTCAGACAGATCGGTCTATATCCGGAGGGACTGTCAACCCTAACTGTCTTTTTGAGTAGTATTATTTTTCCTTCTTTCCATTCAGCGGGGAAATAACCAAATTCCAGACAGGCGTTGAAAATTTTAAGAAAGAGTTCTTTAAAGTTGTTGTAGATTGTTCTCAGAAAAAAGGTTTTGATATTATCAATTCCTGGTGCAGTTGTTAATTTCAATTTAGCCAAAACAGCATCTACCTCTGCTGAAGTGAATGGTATGTCATTGATTGTATTGATATCTTCGAGTGACATGAGACGCACGTTGGTCTCATGTGCCGAGTCGCTGTTTGGGTCATCTTCCTCGAATAGCGTTGTTAGGATAAAACGTACTGTCTCTGCCAGACTTTTCGTCCCAACTCCATCTGGTAACACGAGAGGACAAAGCACTACCGGGCGTTTAAGTTTGTTAAGTGCTATCTTATATGGGAGGGTAAAAACATTATTGCCGTGGATGACACCGCAGAACTCTTTAAAAGAGCTCTGCTTTGCATCCTTTATGTTGCTTTTATAATCTTTGTGCGCTTCATAATAGGATTTCTTAAAGTGATCTCTATTGTTATTTTTGCAATTTTGATATCTGCGCCGAAGCGCCCGAATTTTTTTACGTTCGATAGAAAGTTGTGGGGTCCACCATTTAACTTCATTTGCTCGATAGGTAACTACCTTGGAATATATTTCCGTAAGTTCTTCAATTTTGTCATAAAATGTTCTAATTACATGCTCTAAATGATTTTTGGATACGAGAGGTCTGCTTGACATGTCCCTAAGCCAGCGGTCTTTTATTAATTTGTCTATAACCTTTATCTCGCCTGTTTTTGTTAGTCTTTTGACTGGGCACCTGTTTCCAAAAGCTGTAATTTTGATGTAGCTGTGGTCGCTGCCTGAAGGAGTGTCCAAAACCTTCCAATCCGAAATGTGTCCTAATGTGTGTCCATTTACAATAGTTAGATCAATCCAACTTTCGCCGTTTGGTGAGGCGAAAGTTGGGGACGAGTTTCTGTCATTGATCCACACTAATTCTAAGCTTATAAATAGGTCTGCTAATTCCTCTCCTCTCTGGTCTAATCTCTGTCCCCCCCAGCTGGGGTTTTTCGCGTTAAAGTCTCCTAATAATATAAGTTTTTCTGATTTGTGCTGTTCTACAACTTCGGTGATTATTTGCAGCCAAGGTGTTATGTCGTCATCAGGTGGTATATAAACGTTTGCTAGCACAAACGTTTGGTTTTCTGTGTTACAGCGGACCACTAGCAGATCTCTCGCTACGGTAATAGGAAATGCATCGCAAAAGTTATCGTGAATTACCATTGCGACTCTGGGTTTTGTTTCGAATGCTATGACATTATCTTTAATGCTGAATCCCACAACCTTGTTTTTAAGATAATAAGGTTCCTGGATGCAGGTGATGCGTTGCTTAATTTCCATAGTATCTATCTTAAGTTGGTCTATAGCTCTTATACAGTGATTTGCATTAAACTGCAGGATATCTACTCTGCTATCCGAGCTGGACATAGTTAGTGTTTTAAGTTAATGTATGGTCAGCTCAAAAGCGGGAAAAGATAACTATTGAATTCGAGCTATGTACCTATGAATGCTTGGTAAAGGGGCTTTTAGTAGGCTAAATATCGTCGAGCCTGCTGCTCCTTCTCAAGCAGGGCCCTGCATGCCCTCGAACCAAACGAGTGTTCGACGTGAAATCTCGTCTTGAACTTCTCGTTGCTCCGAACGCATGCACGGCACCGCTTCTCAATTGCCCTGCAGTTGACCCCGGGGTGGTCGCCGGAACACTCAGTGCAGGCCGAGGACTGGTCTTTGCACACTTTAGCTGTGTGGCCATAAGTGCAACACTTCGTGCAGCGCCGGACGCCAAGGTTCTCATAAACGGGGCAGGACGTCCATCCGAGATACACCCTCCTCTTTTGGAGGAGGATGTCCCTCGTCTGGGGCCCAACCTCCAGAATATGGACCATGGTGCCCGATGCTGCCCGAAATGAGGCCACGACCTTGTTCTGGTCTTCGGTTGGGAGGTCGTTCATTGAGGTTAGGGTCTCAACTAGGTCCGCAGCTTCCACCCCTGGGTCAACCCCCACAATCTTGACCTGTGGGGCCCTTTTTTCTGAGCGCCTAGTTGTAAGCTTCGACGCGGTTACCGCGTTGGCCTTAATGGCCTCCGCGAGGCGGTCAAGCCCGGCCGCGTTATGACCGAGGACAATTGCCCCCCCTCTCACTTGCTTAATTTCGACGCTGCCGAGTCCGAGCTCCAAAGGCTTGAAGGTAGTACGCAGCAGGTGGGAGATCCCTGCGTAGGGCTCCACCCCAGCTGCTGGCTTGGTTGTCGGGTAGATCAACAGGCTCTCCCTGGGGGCTGTGGGTGGTGTTGCTGGCATGGGGGCCACGAGTGGTGCCCCCCCCCCTGCTGCTGGCCGGCGGGGCTCGGGCTCGAAGTCGCCGGGTTCTGCTGGAGAACCTGCGAGAAGGTTCGCTGCAGGGCGGCAACACTCTCCGGCGTGGGAGAGGGGGCTGGGGCCCTCTCCCTCTCTTCCTTGTACGCTTCCATTTTCGCCGCAAGTGTTGTATTTTGATTAATTAACTCTAAGGCAAACCCCAACAGACGGTCGTAGGCCCCGTGCATGTTGGCCACCTGAGTTTTAGTGAGTTTAATGCCAACCGCGGGGATTGCCTCACTCACTTCCCGGTACATATCAACCAGGGTTGCGGCGTTCGGGTTCAGTGTGAATTTCATTTTTTTCGCCTGCGTTTCAATCTTATCTTGGGTTGGAGGCGAATCCCCGTTGCCCTTCTCAGTTACATCCTCCCCCGGGGGGGAGGCATCGCCACTAGTGCTGCCTGGCACCTGAGCGTCTCAGATGACAGACAGGCTTGCCCAAGAAACGCCCAAAAGCAAAAATAGAAAACACAGTACCAAAATCCCCAGCCGCTCCTCGCGACGAAAGAAAACAGTCTTTTGTGCCAAAAATGGCACGGACAAACTCTCAAAGGGACACCCCTAAAAATAATGAAAAATGGCCTAAAATGGGGAAAAAAAACACCAAACGTACTCTCGCGACCGCGCTACTGCAACGAGTACCGACCTTAGCCCTGCACCGCCATTAGTGTTAAGAAAAAAAAAACTACATGGCGTTTTCGGTCGGAAGAAAAAAGGCGGGAAAAGTGCGCTTGAACAAAAAGCCTATAAATCAGCAAAAAACTGAAATACACAGATTGCATCACCTGGAAAGGGTGGTGCTAGGCTTTTAGCTACGAAAGGGACCTAGCTTACCCGTCCAGCTAATCGGAAAAACCCCCCGAAAAGAAATAAAAAGAAGTTAGCCTGCGTAGTTCAGGCTTCCTTTGTTTGGCCCCTGGCCTAGCACCCCCCACCACTTCGAAAATCAAAGTAGTTGTAAAAATAAAAGTTTTGCCTCTACAAAAGAAACAAACACCCGCTCGTGCTCGCGCAAACGCGAGGAACACGGGCGTTAGATTTATATGTACGGGCGAGCGCTCAAACTTTGAGTTTGGACGCAAAATCAAGTGGCAACCATCTTGATTTTTTCCCGCTAGGCCTAGCTCACACAAAAATGCTCAGAAATCAAAGAACATTAACTTTAGAAAAACAAAAACACCTGGAAACTAATCGCTACACCTTTATACACTAATACCTAAAAGAATATACTTTCAGCTAGCCTGGAAATATAAAAATTATACTTAGCTTGGGGAGCTCATTCGATGCAGGTCTTGCCCCCTCGGCGCCTAGGGAAGAAGTCAGTAGATAGGGACAAAATATATAGAGGAGACTTAAAAGAAGAGAAAAATTAAGTCAAGAAAAAAATAAAAATAAAATTGCTCCTCTGCCCGCACCACAAAGGTATAGCGGCATCCTAATATAAAAAATTACTTAAAAAAACCCCACCCCCCCGGGATCTACTGTTTTAGCACAACCACAGCCAAGGGCACCGGCCCAGTCCATCAGCGACGTTTATTGAAAACTAGAAAAAAAACAAAAGAAAAAAAAAAGAAAAAAAAAATTATTTTTTAAATTTTCCCCAGAAGAGAAGCGCGCATGCACCCGCTGTACAGAATGAAAAAATCCTATATATATTGGTTAAATATGATGAAGAGTAAAATAGTGAGCATGCTATCACTTTACAGAAAAATAGTAAAAATGAAATAGTGTTCTTAGACTAAAATGCATAAAAAAAAGTATATATATATATATATGTATATATACATAGACATGTACATACACACAGACATACATACACACAAAACCATACACACCCAATATAAGGCAAAAATATAAAAAAAGGAAAAAGAAATTGCAAACATACATATATAGGGTAAAAACATAAAAATACGTAAAATTTAAGTGAAATATGTGAAAGATATAAAGAAAAATATATACATATCAATGTACACAATAATGAAAGCCTTTTCTAAAAATCCCTCCCCCTTTTACATGCTACTTCCTGGACTAAACAATTACTAAAATGTATCTCCCTCCCCCCCAGTTCTTCTCTGATGACTTCTCTTGAGTGGCGTTTCGGGCTAGTTGACGATGGTTGTTGAAAGTTCTTTTTACATGATGCTTGATGTTTTAACAGTTCTATGGTTGAATTATGGATCTGGACGGCTTGCTGGATGATGGTCGGCGGTAGTTGGTTCTTGATTACAGGCTTCTTGAGGAATAAACAATTTTATGGTCGATTCGGGGTTGCTGTCTGTCTTCGGGTGGGGATCGCGAGGGTGCTGAAAAGAAAGGCCTTCATTAGTCTCCCCCTCCCCTCCCCTTTTTGTGTTCCTACTCCCTCTTTCCCTGTCCTCCCTTTGTCTTTTGACTGCAGGCCCCCATGGTCCCGGCATATGGCCCTGTCCCTCGGCCGTAACTCTGGTCGTCCCCCCCTCGTCACTCTCTCAACAAGGGGAGGGAACTTCCAGAGCACAGGGTCGGGGCTTTGTCCCCCTGGCCCCCACACCTGCTAGATCAGAGAGGCCGGTTTCCCGGCCTCTCCGCCCCAGCAGGCTGCCTGGGCTGTGGCTGTGGAGCGGGTCCGGCGGGGGCACCGCTATCATCGACCGAGGCCTTGGGGGCAGTGTATGCGGCAGTCTTATGTTTGGTTGTGCGTATACATTCGTGTTATTTGTAGGTGTCCCCATTATACTAGTTTATGTAAACGGTTCCCGGGCCGAGACAAGCGGCCCTGCTCTTCCCGAGCTTTGAGCCGCGTCCAGTGGGCCCCTCCCCTCCACCCATCTGCTGAAGGGGCGGGCCCACCTGAACGCCCATCTGCGGGGGCGCCGCTTACGCCTGTACTCGCGCCACGTCGCCATTGCTGTTGTGGTGTATGCTACTTGGTATCGCATTTTATGTTATGTGGGAGTGCCAGAGAAGGCCACAGAAATCCCCGCGCCCCCGGCGCGCACCCGACCCACGTCCCACCGCTGCCTCACGGCCCCCGAGGTGCCCGCTGCTCGCCCCTTGTGGCCAAGGAGCCGCAGCGGGCACTGCATGTCTTAATGACAGCCCCATCTGGCCGGAGAAGACAGCGGCAAACCGCAGGCCCAGCCCGCACCCCGAGCGCGGGAACCCCTAGGGCCCCCAACACTACCTGGTCTGTAGCAGTTAATGTTTGAAGGTGGCCGCGAACCTCCCCAGATGGCCCTGCTCTTGGCATTGGGTTGCCAATGTGCTGGAGCTCGAGTACCTCCACTCCATGGTGAGGGGCTATTCACCGTTGCCTCACCCCTTCCCCGTACCTTACCCATCAGTACGGGGTTTTGGAGGGTAGCGTGGGCGGGGGCACCGCTGCATGGGGGAGTATTCCCGGGTTTCACCTTCCTGTTGTTGTGCAAGTGAGTGTGTCTGTGTGTTTGTGAGTTCCCTTCCCCCATCCCTCCCATCCCTTCCCTCTTCCCTGTGCGCCAGGAAGCGCCTGGGCACGTGTTGCGTGTCGGAAGGTGCAGAGCACTTTGCACCTGTGGTGCGGGCGGGGACGCTCACCGATTATTGCACTGTGCCCGCTTTTTCCGACAGGCAATCACTTTTTTGTTATGTTAGCCCTCTTCGTTCTAATGTGCCTAATTTTGCCCCAATGAGATTTAACATTTCTCCAATTAGTTTAAGAATTTTTCGGTTTTTTAGAATGTTAATTTTATCTTTATCCGTGACAGCGGTCACTTTGCCGGGCAATAAATTGTACACTTGTTCCGCGAGAGGTTTTAGTAACGGGCATTCATTAAGATAGTGTAGGAAGTTAACGCACTGCCTCCCGCAGAAGCAGTTTTGGTCGGGAGACAGTTTCACTATATAGAGGTAATAAGGCAGCCTGCCATGATTGGTGACGACCTGTGAGACGTAAAAGTTTGCTGGAAAATTGTCTGGTATATCGTGTATACTAGGGATCCATGTACTCAATTCGGAGTTTTGCCCCTCCTCTTTCCATCGCTGATCCCATTCTTTAAAGAGTTGAATTTTGATTTCTTTTTTGACATAGTTTTTCCCCATGGGTAACGCTACCGGTTCTCCATGAGTTCGCGCTTTATTTGCTAGTTTATCTGCCAATTCGTTTCCCTCCACCCCAGTATGGCCTTTCACATGCATTAGATTTATACTATGCATTGTTCGCATTGTTTTAATGGTATTTTTTATGAGTTGAATTACTGGATGGTTATTGTGGGGGTTAGCTAGGGCCTGAAGTGTGGATAAGCTATCCGTGAATAGGTTAATGGTTGTACTGTTTTTAAAAGTTGATACGTATTCCAGACTTTTCAGAATTGCAATCATTTCGGCATCATATATTGTTGCGTGCTTTTCTAATTTGTACAATCTTTCTTTGTTGATTTTTCCGATTCATCTAGTAGTATAAATGCTGCTCCTACTGTCTGGTTACAGACAGATCCATCGGTGAAAATGTTAAGTTGAGCAGTGCTAGGCGCTTTTTTAAAGAATGATACAGCTGTTTTTTCTGCTGGGTGCGTATCCCAGGGATCTAACAGTTTTTGGATTTTTTCCGTCTCCCAGGTCGTCCCAAGTATAGTGTGGTCACTGTTTCTCTGAAACAAGTGAAATGACGCGGCTTCTTTGTCGAGTGTTAGTGCTATTGGCATAATGTTTGAGAGAATATTAAGGTTGATATTGCTAACGGTGCGGTATGCTTTAGTTATTTTCAAAAGCGGCGTTCTTTGTACAGACTGTAGCTTCCTGGCCAAGTGCGAATTGTTTGTATTTTTCCACCATACGGGGGCGGCGTACGTAATTGCTCGTTCTATTCCTCTGATATAAATGTCTCTGAATTGTGTCCCCTTGATGCCCCAGTTGACCCCGGAAAACATGCCGAGGGCTTGGGTGCTTTGAGTTATTTTAGATTTTAGATATTCTGCATGTGCCGTGAATGTCAGTTTTGAGTCGAAAACGACCCCGAGGATTTTAATGAATTTATATGAGTGAGGTTGCGTCCTCCCAATTTAATGGTTGGTACTCGTTTTTTATACCGATCTCCAATATCAAGAACTTCGCACTTGGCCGGGTTAAAGCTTAGCCTTTTTTCATCTCCCCATTCTTTAATGAGGTTTAGCGCCCGGTTTGCATTGTCCTCCAGTTCTTTCCGTGATTTTCCCGTCACTATTAGGGTTACGTCGTCAGCAAATGCCTGAATCGTTATATTGTTTTCGAATCTTTGTTGAAGAAGATCCGCAATAACAACATTGAAAAGAAGTGGACTGAGGGGTGAACCTTGCGGACACCCCTTTACTGAGCCGATAGTAATTTTTTCGCTTTTTGTTAAGTAGGACATTTTGCGGTTTGTCAAAAAGTCTCGAACCAAATTGAAGAGATTTCTGGGGCATTTGTTTTCTCTTAGTTTGTTAATTACTACTGGGGCCCAGAGCGAGTGGAAGGCTCCCTTGATGTCCAGAGACACCAAGATTGCCCCCTTCCCCTCCCTCTTGACGTCCTCCAGCTTAGTTTTAATTTTGTATAACGCGCTTACAGCAGACTTTCTGTGGGTAAAGCCAAATTGGTTTTCATGAAGTAGTTTTTTAGAGTGTAAGAAATGGTACAGCCTATTGTTAATTAATTTTTCTAATACTTTACCAAAGATGGAGTTCAGACAGATCGGTCTATATCCGGAGGGACTGTCAACCCTATCTGTCTTTTTGAGTAGTATTATTTTTCCTTCTTTCCATTCATCGGGGAAATAACCAAATTCCAGACACGCGTTGAAAATTTTAAGAAAGAGTTCTTTAAAGTTGTTGTAGATTGTTCTCAGAAAAAAGGTTTTGATATTATCAATTCCTGGTGCAGTTGTTAATTTCAATTTAGCCAAAACAGCATCTACCTCTGCTGAAGTGAATGGCATGTCATTGATTGTATTGATATCTTCGAGTGACATGAGACGCACGTTGGTCTCATGTGCCGAGTCGCAGTTAGGGTCATCTTCCTCGAATAGCGTTGTTAGGATAAAACGTACTGTCTCTGCCAGACTTTTCGTACGAACTCCATCTGGTAACACGAGAGGACAAAGCACTACCGGGCGTTTAAGTTTGTTAAGTGCTATCTTATATGGGAGGGTAAAAACATTATTGCCATGGATGACCCCGCAGAACTCTTTAAAAGAGCTGTGCTTTGCATCCTTTATGTTGCTTTTATAATCTTTGTGCGCTTCATAATAGGATTTCTTAAAGTGATCTCTATTGTTATTTTTGCAATTTTGATATCTGCGCCGAAGCGCCCGAATTTTTTTTCGTTCGATAGAAAGTTGTGGGGTCCACCATTTAACTTCATTTGCTCGATAGTTAACTACCTTGGAATATATTTCCGTAAGTTCTTCAATTTTGTCATAAAATGTTCTAATTACATGCTCTAAATGATTTTTGGAAACGAAAGGTCTGCTTGACATGTCCCTAAGCCAGCGGTCTTTTATTAATTTGTCTATAACCTTTATCTCGCCTGTTTTTGTTAGTCTTTTGACTGGGCACCTGTTTCCAAAAGCTGTAATTTTGATGTAGCTGTGGTCGCTGCCTGAAGTAGTGTCCAAAACCTCCCAATCCGAAATGTGTCCTATGTGTGTCCATTTACAATAGTTAGATCAATCCAACTTTTGCCGTTTGGTGAGGCGAAAGTTGGGGACGAGTTTCTGTCATTGATCCACACTGATTCTAAGCTTATAAATAGGTCTGCTAATTCCTCTCCTCTCTGGTCTAATCTCTGTCCCCCCCAGCTGGGGTTTTTTGCGTTAAAGTCTCCTAATAATATAAGTTTTTCTGATTTGTGCTGTTCTACTACTTCGGTGATTATTTGCAGCCAAGGTGTTATGTCGTCATCAGGTGGTATATAAACGTTTGCTAGCACAAACGTTTGGTTTTCTGTGTTACAGCGGACCACTAGCAGATCTCTCGCTACGGTAATAGGAAATGCATCGCAAAAGTTATCGTGAATTACCATTGCGACTCTGGGTTTTGTTTCGAATGCTATGACATTATCTTTAATGCTGAATCCCACAACCTTGTTTTTAAGATAATAAGGTTCCTGGATGCAGGTGATGCGTTGTTTAATTTCCATAGTATCTATCTTAAGTTGGTCTATAGCTCTTATACAGTGATTTGCATTAAACTGCAGGATATCTACTCTGCTATCCGAGCTGGACATAGTTAGTGTTTTAAGTTAATGTATGTTCAGCTCAAAAGCGGGAAAATATAACTATTGAATTAGAGCTATGTACCTATGAATGCTTGGTAAAGGGCTTTTTAGTAGGCTAAATATCGTCGAGCCTGCTGCTCCTTCTCAAGCAGGGCCCTGGATGCCCTCGAACCAAACGAGTGTTCGACGTGAAATCTCGTCTTGAACTTCTCGTTGCTCCGAACGCATGCACGGCACCGCTTCTCAATTGCCCTGCAGTTAGCCCCGGGGTGGTCACCGGAACACTCAGTGCAGGCCGAGGACTGGTCTTTGCACACTTTAGCTGTGTGGCCATAAGTGCAACACTTCGTGCAGCGCCGGACGCCAAGGTTCTCATAGACGGGGCAGGACGTCCATCCGAGACACACCCTCCTCTTTTGGAGGAGGATGTCCCTCGTCTGGGGCCCAACCTCCAGAATATGGACCATGGTGCCCGATGCTGCCCGAAATGAGGCCACGACCTTGTTCTGGTCTTCGGTTGGGAGGTCGTTCATTGAGGTTAGGGTCTCAACTAGGTCAGCAGCTTCCACCCCTGGGTCAACCCCCACAATCTTGACCTGTGGGGCCCTTTTTTCTGAACGCCTAGTGGTAAGTTTAGACGCGGTTTCCGCATTGGCCTTAATGGCCTCCGCGAGGCGGTCTAGTCCGGCCGCGCTGTGACCGAGCACAATAGCCCCACCTCGCACTTGCTTGATCTCGACGCTGCCGAGTCCGAGGTCCGCGGGCTTGAAGGTAGTACGCAGCAGGCGGGAGATCCCTGCGTATGGCTCCACCCCAGCTGCTGGCTTGGTTGCCGGGTAGATCAAAAGGCTCTCCCTGGGGGCTGAGGGTGGTGTTGTTGGCTTGGGGGCCTCGGGCAATGCCCCCCCCCTGCTGCTGGCCGGCGGGGCTCGGGCTCGAAGTCGCCGGGTTCTGCTGGAGAACCTGCGAGAAGGTGCGCTGCAGGGCGGCAACACTCTCCGGCGTGGGGGAGGGGGCTGCGGAGCTGGGGCCCTCTCC